GTTAAATTTTTATAGTATGAACATTCACTTTCCTCGGTGTCTATAGTTTTCACTTTTCACATAACATGAATTACAGAAATATCATATTCTACTTTTCCTTTTACCATCAGATTATGCCATAAAAGAGAAGCCCTTGTTAGTTGAGGATATGCAGGGAGGCCCAGATCACATTATTCTGAAAAATCTGGACCTAGATAGTATCCGCATAATTAGCAGTGTTCTTGGTCAAAGTATAGCGTTGGATTATTTTGTCTCACAGGTAAATGGTTAGTTATGTTATATTTTTCCTGTGTTATTCCATGTTACTGGGAAACTTCTAAAAGTATGTTGTACTATAGGTATATGGTCTTAATAAGCTTAATTGCAAGTTAAAATCTCTCTCGGTTTTAGGTTGATGGCATAGTTGAAGAGTTCACAGATATTAATCGTGGTATGGAGAAAAGTGGTACTTTCACAATGGATCGGAAGAAACTCTTTCAACTTGTTGGAAAGGCCAACTCAAATCTAGCTGATGTGATTCTCAAAGTCGGTCTTTTTGAGAGGTAATATTCAATGTTTGGTCAACATCCAAAATGTGTTTCAGCATTTCTGCACATCATGAAGCATAAAGGAATGGGATCAATGCATTTTATTTCATGTTTTGTCCATATGAAACCCGATGAACATTCAGAGGACTGACTCATACATAAAAGACATGGAAAGACAATTCGATTTAGGGTTTTCAACCTGTTTGTTGTTTTGCTATGATTTGACCATCTTCACTGGCCTTTACCTAGATTTCAATTAATGCTTGTTTGGTAGTACTTTTAAGTTGTGGATCCTGCGGAATGTGTGAATAAAAAATATGTTTGACCAACTTATATTATAATTTAACCTTTTCCAAACATGCTCTTAGTTCTTTCACAAGATTTTTATTGATGCGAAGAGTCATTTCTTGTGAGCCTCTTTGAGTAAATGGCTAATTATATGTTTGCGCGAGTAGAAGAAATTGTGAAACTTTATATCAGAGTTGATGTATGTACGTGTCTTCATTCAACTGTTTAGTCGTCTCTGAGATATTATAGCATCAACTCTTTTATCTAAGATTAGTTTATTACATGGGTTTTTACTGTGTAAGTTGATGGGATTTTTGATTGATCAGATCAGAAATAGCTTGGAGAGATGCAAAATATGGGCAGATACTGGACTACCTTCGAGAGGAATACGAGGTCGCCCAACGATTTGGAAATCTTGATTATAAGTTAAAATTTGTTGAGGTACGTAAACCCATATTCTGCAACCTCCATCGCTGTATGTTGGAATATAGTCATGAATTTCTTGTATTATGCAGCATAACATTCATTTTCTTCAAGAAGTGCTTCAAAACAGAAAGTCAGATTTGCTGGAATGGTGCATCATAGTTTTGTTGAGTATAGAAAATGTAATAGGGATATACGAGATTATTCGCGGATCTACCGGAATTGCAATATGAACCCGAAAGACGCAATTTTTA